TTTACATTGTGAGGATAAGTTTCATGATTGAAACTTGTATGCTGATTGTTGTTTATGTAGTTTAAGCGCAAAAAGTGGGAGTTTCTTTTGATTGATCAGGTTGTATAATTTCAAATATTGAGACTATGAGTATGAATTTTGAAATTCGCATCTCCACTCCACATTTCATGAATATGCAGAGTAATGCTAATGTACATAGAGGTGTACATAACACTCACATTGAGCGAGTCCTACCGAGAATAAAAAATTAAGTGGACCCCACTCCATATGGGTGTTATGTATTACATATATTTATTATGTACTTGTACCATTTTTTGTTCCAATATTTATGATGATGTTTACCATATCTATACTTATATAATAAGAATTACTCTAAAATAGTAGGTCAAATTATAGTCCATGTCGGATTTGCATTAAATATTTTCTAAAGCCGATAAATTTTTGTCCTTTTCACACTTCTCATTAATTATATCATTTTCACACATCTAATTAATTACTAAGTGGGCCTCCAATTCAGGAAAATCAGCACTAGGCCTGATCGTTTGTCAGATGAAAAACTGGAGTAAGCTCAGTAATGTTTAACGTTTGTGGGCTGGACTGGCTTAAAAAAATTAGCCATACGGCACAAATGGGAATGTTTTTATCTAGGCCCATATGTGCTCTGCCACTTTTCAAGTTTCAACTCCCACTCCCCACATTTTATATTTCCAATATTTCATTTTTATTTTGTGTTTTATTATAATGAAACACGAAATAAAATATAAAAATCCGATTCATTTGGTTAGTTTTGAGCTACAGATAACAAAATATCGTTGTTTTTTTACGTATATTCAATTAGGATTTATAAAGACTTTTTAAGACTTTAGAAATCTTAATGTATTCAATTTAGATTTGTTAATACTTTTAAAAATCATGGGGTATTCAATTGAGATTTTAAAAAGTCTTAAAAAATCATGAGGTATTTAATTTATTTGACATTAGGATTTGTTAAGACTTTTTAAGATTTGGTGAGATTTCTAAACAACAAAACATTATATGTAATCTCACTTCAAATCCTATCTCAACAATCAACATAGAAATCCTCAAAAAAAATCTTAAAAAAAGTCTCAAATCTTAAAAAGTCTTAAAATATCACTTAGAATCCTAATTGAATACACTCCCGTAATTATTTTCGTAAATATTGTTTTACAAAAGATACAATCAAAATTTCAAATCTCTGTTAAAACATAACAAAAACAAAAAATATTCTAATATTGGAATGGATCTATATATATATATATATATAATAAGAATTAACATTTTTCAAAAATAGTAAGCAAAAAAATAGGGAATATTAATTGCATTCCATTTTTGGTATGTTTTTTTTTAATTTTTTTAATAAAAAATCAAGTAACATTTAATGCTAGCACAAATCATGGGATTTGTTATATAGATGTATATTTGAATTTCAAACTTCAAACAAAACATGCCTAAATGTATTTTGATTTTTTTAGGGAAAAAATTTAACAAATACGTTAAATATTTCATACAATACATATATTTATATATATTATCTTAACATATAGGTTAATTAGTTTCATATCTAAACAATATATATTTAAACAATATATAAACAAATATAATAATTTGTCGTACAATACAGACAAATATGTAAACAATATATTTATATACAAATATAATAAACAATACAAACAAATATACAAACAATATATAAACAAATATAATAACTTGTCACGTGTATATTTCGTACAATACATATATTTATATATATTATCTTAACATATAAGTTAATTAGTTTCATATCTAAACAATATATATTTTAGGAACTTAAAAATTCATAACATTACTGACGTCATGTATATTTATAATATATTATCACGTACATTTTACTACAATTTGTAACTTTTTTAAAATTATTTGAATAACTGGAGGTTGATTTATAATTTGAATTTCAAATTCATTCAAACATTTAAAGGAAAATATCATAAGCAGATTTTTTTGATACATTTCATTTTATCTCAACTTACATATAATCACATTCCTACCAAACATTAAATTTGCTTATATCTTTTTAAATTAATTACATCACTAAATAATATTAATATACATTACATATTTATCATTATATAACAATTATATTACTTCTACAAATGTTATAAATAATAATGACATTATATGATAATAGATTTTTTGATAGATTAATAATTGAGTATTATGCTGAACCAACATATGTAAAAGTATTATTATTTTGTATTAAAAAATAAATATATATGTTAAAATATTATTTATAATAATATAAACTGGTCAGCATGCTATTACAATAAATTTTATAATAAAATAATATGAGTATTATACGAAGAACAATATTACGTAAAATTGTTATTTTTCTTATATCAAGGAATAAATATACATAATGAAATCAAATTTATATTATTATAAACATGTGAGAGAGATAATATATTAATTACTTTATGGTGTAGCGCTACCACTACCAGACTCAGGTTTAATGTCTCGACAAAAAAGATGACGTTGATGAAAGAGGTAAAAAAATAGATGATCAAAATTTTTTTAGGCCTTAACTGACAATCTCTATTGTCCACTCATTTAATATCTCCCGTGAATTACACGAGCTACTTAACAGACAAGCTCTGAAAATGACTCATTTAATATTTATGTCACGTGCGGGCTACATACTAGTAGTATTAATTTGAGTAGTACAGAACAAGGGTGGATGGTTGACTTTTCGATGTAACTGGTTAATTTGGGCTTGGGCCGGCGACTACCCCTATTTTAACGATTTTTGTTTAAACTTTTTGGGACCCTAATTAACGGGCCCAAATTAAAATTGAAGTATGTATGTTTGCAATAATAAGGCTATAAGCCCATTTCCAGATTGAGGATCGTCCAAAGAGAATTTACCTGATGAACGATCTCTTTATCTTTTATTTGTCAATATATGATTCTTTTTTTCTTTTTTCTAAATTAGTGAATTATGTTGTTAAATTAGCCTTAGGGCGTCATTTTTATAGATTTGGGTCCATTTGGGCCGTATATGCAAGGCCCAACCTAGCGCGCCTCTATTTTTTTAACACGTCGTCCTTCTTCCACCGCATATCCCCTTCCACTTTTCTTCATGTAATCATATTGTTATTCAATCTAATAATTTCTCAAAGAGAAACTAAAACACTAAAGCGAAATGGCTAGTAATCTGTACCGTCAGTTCTCGTGGTCGATCACGAGGGTTTCCAACCGGCGGCTCATCTGCACGACGGCTCAGCTATTCCAGAATAAGCGGTTAGAGACAAAGGAATCGCAAATATCCGATACGAAAGAGAAGATCCATGACCAAACCGAGGATGAAAGGAAACCGGCGTCCAAGGATGAAGAAGACGACGGCGACGAGTTGGTGAACAAGCAGACGGGTGAAGTCGGCGGCCCCCGCGGGCTAGAGCCGACTCGGTACGGCGATTGGGAGAAAAACGGTCGTTGCTCCGATTTTTGATTTTAGGATAATTTTGTAAGTTATGCTGCACCTTTTCCCGTTGATCATCAGACATTCTATTAAATTGTGGTATTAGGGAAAATATTGATTATCTATGTGGTTTGGTTGCTGGATTAGAGATTGATAAGATTGAGAAGGAGAATTAGAAAGATGAAAATGTAAATTTTTCAATTGGAAATAGAAAATTTTCAATTGCGGTAATATAAGGAAAATTGCTTTAAAGAAGATGAAGTGATTGAAAGGTGTGCAATTAGTTATAGAAAATTTGAAATATTTGAAGATGAAGTGATTGAAAGGTTTTAATTAGTTATAGAAATTTTGAAATGTTTTTATGTGGATGTTAGTATCATCATATTAAAAGATGGTAAAATAGAAGTTAATTTGTTAGAGTTATACATATAATTGAAGGCAAAACTTTATCCCCAATTTCTCTCCGGTTTCCTTCCTCCTCTTTCTCCCTCACTCCGACATCAGCATGGTAAATGTTTATCAAGCGAACGAATCCTTGTAAGAGTTTTCGCAACTTTCCCAAAACTTGAGGAGAAGTTTCTGTGATTTCCCATTTTATTTGTTGAAATGTTTTTTCAGCTTTGTTTGGAATTACACATTTATCTCTGTTTATCATCATCAGCATGCCTTGAAATGGGTCAGAGGACATGGGGGCCGTTTTGTTAAGGCAAAAAGTTCCAACGATACAACCCGTGATCAAGAAAACGACAACAAATGGCTTGAGTGGTGAAATCTGAATTAGGCAGTGGAAAAAAAAAATGAAAGGACAAAAAAGAGTTCTTGATGCGAAATGCTGTAGTGTCTGATGGTACTAGTCGATGCTATCCGAGTGTTTTTTTGCAGAATTTTGAGACATGAGTCTTTTAGAGTGCAAAATTCAAGCTCATAAAGTGTGTTTATTTTGATCTTGGTGAGATTTTTTGGTGTTGTCAATGGTTTTTTGATGTTTTTTTATTTTTAGTTGAGCATGATTGTGGCCCAGATGAAAAATTTAATGGTCACCCACATTAAATTTCATCCCAAAAAAAAAAGTTCATAATGATTGTCGATCAGTAATGTTGACATCTATATAACCCCAAATGATCTTGATATTTTTGGCATTCAGTATTTCTGAAGATTAAGAAAGTCAATAACATGTTCCTTTTGTGTTCCACTTGCAGTTTGGCTGTCAATTTCATTTGTATAAGATGAGATTATCGAAACATCTCATTTGATGACTCATGAGGAAAAGAATCCCCAAAAAAAGAAAAAAAAAATGCAGATAATAATATTTATCAACAACTTAATTCCTAAAACTAAAAATAGTCGGCAACATGAATTTGCAGTGCAAGTCAAGTCAATCAATTTATATCCACTTTATACATATTTGACCAAACATGGTATGAGCACAAAAATAAGCACAAAAACAACCATGAATTGAATATGGCAATACAAAATGAAAATCATTCAAGTACATTATACTCCAAAGACAATTTCTAATCTTTCTGCTTTTCAATGTATGACGAAACGAAAAATCTCTCTATCTTTCAATGTATGACGAAACGAAAAATCTCTCTATCGTCTCGTGAACTTCAAAAAAAACATCTACTCTTCCGGGAAAGAAAAATCGCTTACTCCAGATATAAGGCAATATCCCCCCACAAAACTTGCTCGCTGCTCGAAGACTCAAGCAAACAAATCAATTTCAAGATCGATCAATTTCATTTTTTTCCCAAATAAAATGGATATGAATTATATTAGTGGAGAAGTTTAAGGTGTTAGCTCGTCAGTTTGGTACAAATTCAGACCTCTCGTTCTTCCGGGGGCCCCGCCTTTCATTGAAGCTAAATCAAGCACAAACCTTCAAGAAAAGAGATGGGGAGTCAATGAACAAAAAGAACCAAAAAAAAAAACAAAAGAAAAAAAAAGGAAAGGCGAGTAAGGTTACGTGCTAACTCTACATGTAACTAACGTACATGTTTACAGCTGGTTTTTCTCCCTCTGAAATCCCACAATTTATAAGGATTTTTCGATCAATTTTCAAGACTTTGTGTTCCAAAGGCACGTGAAACGACTCCAACACTGTATTAGAATTTAATAGTCCGGTAAATTTCATAAGGTAGAAATCGATATATAAAAAGTTAATAGTTTCAACTTCACATACTGCACCAAAGTTAATAGTCTGTCTAACCTGATTCCTCTGGATGGTTCACGCCATGAGTGAGGCCCAAAAGATCCTAAATGCCGTAAAACAAATTATTTCACTTTTATGCAAAAAAGAAAAAGAAAAAAAATGCGATTATGAAAAAAATATAACATGTCCAATATCAAGCAGATAAAATCAACCTTGAGTTTCTCATAGCATGCCCCTAGATCATCATTTACCAAAATATGATCAAACAGGCCCGACGATTTTCCCTGTTCAAGCTCCGCCTTTGCATTTCGGTGCCGTTTCTGGATTTGTTCTTCTGTCTCGGTTGCCCTGTTTGAGATCATAACTGTGATTATGCATATTATTTAAGAAAATAAAAACGTGCAAAGTTCAAACGAGCTAGATATAATGGCTCAACTCAAGCTTAAGCCCACCTCGCACGAAGGCGTTTCTCAAGCTCGTCGAATGAAGGAGGGCAAATAAAGATAAAAATGGCTTCGAGTGAGGTAGACCTCACGGACCTTGCCCCTTGAACATCAATATCAAGTATGCATCTCTACATAAAGAAAAAAAAAATGAAACAAAATAAATTTTTAAAACAATGTATTCATCCTTATATTTGTTTATTTACAACATAAAATGCATCACTTTTGATGTATAAGCACTTTTCCACACATACACACACACACATGCACACACGAGTCAAAAGAGTCCATTTAGAATTTATCTTTCATGTTTAGATGGAGAAAGTCCGTAATGCACATAAAAATCTCACCTTTCCTTTGTCAGCAACTGCCTCAACAGCTTCCACACTGGTCCCATACAGATTTCCATGAACAACTGCAAACTCAAGGAATTTGCCATCCTCGATATCTTTCTCCATCACATGACGTTCTGTGAAATGGTAGTGGGCCCCATTTTGCTCGTTTTTCCTTGGTGCCCGGGTCGTGTGGCTTACAGAGAATCCAAACATGGATGGAAATTCTTGCATCAGTTTCGAAATCAGAGTGCCCTTGCCTACACCAGAAGGCCCGCTGATGACTATGGGCTTTAGGCCTTTGCCGATTACTCCTTTGCTCCAAGAAACTACTTCGGTTCCTAATCTGATTTTATGCTCCCTCACAAATGGAGTGTTCACCTGAAAATGCATACAAGATATAAGGTAAAGCGGGGAGAGGGGGTTTATGTGAATGGATCCCAAAAGTGCTTGAGTGAGAAATGCCAAAAACTAAACATGTTGAACATCTAACTCCAGATTTTAGGTTGCAATTGGATATAGATTTTTTTTGAAAAAAAAAAATTGTCTTGTTGAAAAATAGAGATGGAAAGGTAGAAAAGTAGTTTTTAGGAGAAGTAAGATATTTTTTTAGTCAAAGGATATAAAATAAAAATGTAATGATTAGAGTTGATGTGATGAAAATAGTAAAATACTAATTAGTAATGATTGATGGTTAAGAAAAATTTTAGTGGGTGAAATGTGAATAGTGTTTTTTGTTGAAAAATATACCATAATGATTGACTTTTAGTTTTTAATTGTTTTAGTGAGATTGTAACGAAAAAAGAGAGATTATGAATAATTTTTTTTTCTTAAAAAATATTTTCATTCACAACTTCAATGAGATAAATCTTGACTAACCAAAGTAAAGTGAAAAATATCTTACATACAATGCCAAATTTCAATTTCGATCAAAAGATTATTCAGGATCAGAAGCATGAACTACAGAGCTTATTTATTTGAGAATCAGACCAAAGAGCTGAAAATCACTTTCTTTTTAAGATTTTGCATGCACTCCCCTAATAATGCATCAATGTATTAGGAGCTCAAACACCAACCTCGAGAAACCAGAATGTATCATCCGAGTTCGTGTTGCCCTTAATGACCAGAATTCGATCTTCATCTAACTCAATTGCTGAATGGCCCTTTGACAGCTTCGGTTTAGTCCCCAACACAACCGGCACAATCCTACACAGAATATATTCTCAATCTCCTAAAAACCCGAAACTTCAAATGGAAAAAG